TCTCTCTCTCTCTCTCTCTCTCTCTCTCTCTCTCTCTCTCTCTCTCTTTCCCTCCCTCCCTCCTTCCCTCCCTCCCTCCTTCCCTCCCCCCCTCTCTCTCTCTCTCTTGCATACACCTCCAAATTCTGAGATAACATCATTTGTAAGAGACTAGTCTCAACTTGTGGTCTGTCCATAGTCTTACTTTTTTTTTTGAATATTTTTCTTTCCACCAGTTTTTCTGTTGTACTATACTGGGATCTAGGCAGTTCTGCAGTTACCCTTTTTCACTACCAATGGTGTCAGCCTTGCAAAACAGGAAGCATAACTAGATGACCTACTTCTATTTTATTGCAAGGTATTAATAGAATCCTGCAAGCCTGAAAATAAATTTCTCTTCCCCATTGTCTTTACAGCCCAAGCAACTAGGGGAGGGTCCCTTCTGAGATGTTTGCCACAATCACATTCCTTCTACAGCCTAAATTGCCTCTTATCTGACCATTCCCCTGGCTGTGGCTCTTCCCCTGTCTCCTAAGGCCCCACATATAAATTACACCATCAATTTGTGGCCTGGCCTGGTACTGGCTTTGGTGTGGAGAGAGCGGGGCTACCCTCTCTGAAATATGCCATTGGGATTTTGATTGTGGGAACCAACTGGGACTTCAGGGCAAGGTTGGTTATGTAGCGGTTGTCTTCCATGAGCCTCTGGTGGACATTAGTGGCCCTGCCCCAGACATCATCAAGTACGAGATCTTTTTTTTTTGTGAGGTTGATCCATAGGGATTATTGGGGACTACTATTCACTTACCTTATTCTCTGCAATGTAGCAGCATCCCTGCCCACATTCATGGATTCTAAATCTGGGCTAGCAGTGGAGTTCCCAAGATGTATGGTTCTAGGGGACTTCTTGAGGAAGTGGACAGGGCCAAGTGTGAGTTTGGCCATCTATGTTATGGACCCATGCCTCTTCTGGTTGCTTAAGACCTCCAAGGAGGTGGCATGTGTGGTTTGATCCAAGCAGTGATTAATGCCTCTTTGCAGAAGGTAGTAGTACCTCATGCTCCGAAGGAGGCAGTGGTGCATCGCCCTTCTCAACAGGCTATCCTTGGATCAAATAGTATTAGACAACGTTCATCCAGTCTCCAGTCTTTCCTTTTTAGGGAAGACTGTTGAGAAGGTGGTTGGTGACCAGCTACAAAGAACCCTGGATGAAACTGATTACCCGGACTCTTTTCAGTCTGGGTTCAGATCAAGGCACAGCATTGAAATAGCACTGATTGCACTTGGTGATGACACTTGGAGGGCTTGAGATGGGGTGATGAAACCATTCTGGCCTTCCTGATCCTCTCAGAGGGTTTTGATACTGTTGACTTTGGTATCCTTTGAGACCGGCTTCAGGGGTTGGGAGTGGGAGGCACTGGGATACGATGGTTCTCCTCCTACTGGTTCCAGTTGGTGTTGGTACAAAAAGAGAGGTTGAGCTCTAGGATCCTACAATGTGGGATGTTCCACAGCTTGAACCTTTTGCCACTTTGAAAAAAAAACTACATGAAACCACTGAGCAAGGTCATCCATCAGAATAACATAATAATAATAATCAGTATGGGGAATCAGTATGGGGAATAACAGTATGGGGAATCAGTATGCGAATAACATTTATTATCAGGGACATGAAAGAAAAGCCCAACTGAGTGTCCCCCAGGGCAATGATGATGCTACCGTTCAATCCTTTAAACCCAGAAATGCTTCAATGCCCCTGATATGACTGTAGTAGTACCTAATTACATATCCCTTGCACCTATCCAGACAGGTGGTGCTGTGGCAGTGCTGGTTGACTGGCCTGGATGGCAAGAAGCTGGCTTTGACTCAACCCTGGAAAGATGGAGTGGCTCTAGGTTTTGCCTACCCCCCCAGGCCCAAATGATATGTTATCTTGTGACTCGAGGTGGAGAGGCACGCCCCCAGACTGAGTTGGTTCACAATTTCAAGGTCCTCCTAGATTCAGGCTCCTCTTGACAAGCAGGTGGTAGCTGTGCCTGGGGAGGGGGGCTTTGCATAGATTCACCTGGTGCACCAATTGCACCCTTTTCTGGACTGAGAAGCCTGGCTCGTCACTCATGTCTTTGTCACTTCCCATTTGGGTTATACAATGTGCTCTACATGGGGTTGCCTTTCATGATCCCTTAGAACAGGGGTCTCCAACCTTGGCAACTTTAAGCCTGGAGGACTTCAACTCCCAGAATTGAAGTCCCCCAGGCTTAAAGTTGCCAAGGTTGGAGACCCCTGCCTTAGAAGCTACAACTGGTAAAGAATGCAGCAGCATGCGCAGTGATGAGTGTCTCTAGATTATGCATTTACTTGTTGCATGAGCTGCACTGGCTTCCGTTTTCTTCTGGGGGGGGGGCGCAATTCAAGGTGATAGTTATTACCTTTAAGGACCCTACATGGCACAGCACCAAGTTATCTGTGGAAACACTTTTCTCTAAAGGCATCTACTAGTCCAACAACATTAGATAGGTGGGCCTTCTTCTAATCCCTTCCTTTAAACATTGCTACCTTATAGGAAGGAGCTAGGAAGCATGGCTCTTCCATGGCAGCCCCTGCCCTATAGAAAACCCTCTTACCCCAAAGGTTTAACAAACCTCGAACCTCCTAGCTTGTAAAAAGCATGTTAGATCTGGTTTTTCCAAGCCCTAGCACTGAGATAGGATGAGATGGCTGCATGTTGGACCTTTGACATAGCACCAGGTTTTTATTTTTAGTGTTTAATAGTTTTCATAGAGTTTTTATGTTTTAATTCTTGATTGGGAGCCCTTCAGAGTTCTGTATAAGACAGGCAACTGAATAATAATGTTTTAAATCAATAATAAATAAAATGTTCCTCACTTATAGAAATAATTATTTGAATATCAGTTTATTTATGTTAGATCCATTTCAAGCATACCAGTATTCAATTTTTTTTAACATCATATTTTAACTATCTTGGGACTGGAGACAAAGGCAAATTGGTCAAGTTCATGTATTGTTTTAATTTACTAGAACTTAGTTTAAGGTGATGTATGAAGTCAGCCAATTGTAGTTTATTTAATCAATTATAGTAAATTATGATTTAACCTAACTTGAATTCAGGAAATTAGGTCTCTCATATTGCATGTTACAAAGAAATGCATTCTTGTCTGAGGCTACAGCTTATAGTCCTTTTTAGAAGGCTGTTGAATATATTGTTTTAGAGAAAGTATTTACTGTAAATCTTTTAATAGGGGCCAGAGTCATACAAATACAGTACCAATGACTACAAATGTACAGTACACTATAATCCAAGATCACAATGGATCATATTCAATGGTATCCTTCCACAATTAGAAAGTCCATTAATGTACTGATGAATCAAATTTATTTCTATATCTACTTTAGAGGCCTGGAGACTTTCTGGAGATTTGACATTCAGGGGATTAATCTCTTGTTGTACAAGGCCAAAAGCTAGCAGTCAGTATATTCAGGGAAATACTTGAGCACAAAAGAACATACTGTAATATGTGGAACTGCCTTGTATTGAATTAACTTTGTCCATGGAACCTTTAAGGTCTATGGGACTCTGACCACCAGCAGCTTTCCATAATCTCCAGCAGAAATCTTTCCACTTGGGTTCTGGAAAATACAATGAGAGAGACTAAGCATTGTGCTCAGCCCCCACATCTTCCAATTTATTTAGTAGTGGCAAGTGGTGAAGGAACCATACCTCCAAACAGAATGTATGCAGTTATTTGAGGTCAGATGAAAATTGGGGCAACTGTGTCCTTTCACTTTTGGCAGCCTTTTTCCAACTGTTGCATTATTTTCTTGGTTTAGGGGAATCTTGTTGATGCTTGCAATTATTTGTTTCTCCTTTAAAGGTTAATAAGAGCAACTATTCTCAGGACTGATATACCTGCTTCAGCTTCAAAATAATTGCATTTAACTTAGACTTAATTCTTTCTTTCCTCTCAAACGCAAAGTGCAAGTGATAATCCTAAAATGATACTATCAATAAATGCTGATCAAATTCATACAGTCCTGTATTCAATCACCCATCATGACACTAGGTGTGAAGGAGCATTTTTTTAGCAACTGATTATTATAATTTTTGCTGACAAATAGAACGTCCTTTCTCATGCAAGACTCAGAGGCCTTTTGATCATCTCTACGTAGTGAGATGACCAAAAGAGCTCCAAGTCTTGCATGAGGTGCTCAGTTAAGTGAACCCAATAAATAGAAAAATAAAAAATCCAACCTGATAACGGGCTGAGTTGATGTATTTTCAACCTGCCATGTTTGCATACAATTATAAGATGTGCTTTTGTGAAAGAGAGAGACAGGGAAAAATAATTATGACAGAACAGATGTGATACAGAGAACCATGCATCCATCAACTCTGTGCCATGGTATTAAGAGAAAAGACAGAATATGAACTGGCTGAACACCAATCTTACTGGGCAATTCATTTTCCCATCCTCTCTTCGTTATGTCCAGTAACATCAGAAAAGTAGAATTAAACTACATTCCCTGCTAAATTTATTCTAATACAAGTACAGCAAAAGACTTAAGCCTGTGTCCCTTAGGAACCTGCGCAAGATTAAGATGTTGTATGAGGATACAGATAATGCCAGAAGATGTTCGTGCTAAGATTAGATGTAAGTAAAGACAACAGAGAGAAAATATGAGGTAAAAGAAAGATGATTATCCCAATATAATTCAAGAATTCTGTCATTGTCTTCAAGTTATCAGGAAACATTCACTGCCTAAAACAAAACCAATCAAGATTCCTATTCAATAAAGTGCTGCTTTGGAGGAATTGTTACCTTTCTGTTTCTTTACTATGAATTGAGGTAGGACAGATATTTGATCCCAAGTCAAAGTCACCATCATACACTGCATCATATACATTGTTATAATGTGAAGCTTGGTTAGGTTTTGGCATCTCAAAGGACTCTATCGTCTGTGGCCTCTCACAGTGGGTGCCCGCCCACTTTAGATAGCATTGACACTGAAAACGATCTTGCATTGACACATTTTGTTCTTGAAAATCTGTCATCCCAAGGTCCCCTTCCCGTAGCTGAGGGTCCAGATGGAGAAAGGCTCCTAATTCACTCAGGTCGCGTCTCACACAACGTCCATTCCCATGACACAGCTGGCGACTACATCTGTTTGCTGCTGTAGTCACATTAGCAACGTAAGGTCCCAGTGTAGTGGTGATGTAACGGTGAAGACTCTTGCAGCTCTCCTGGAGAACATAAGATCAGAATTAGGATTTGGATTTTGAAGAACTCAAGAAGCACCAAGTGGATCAGGCCAAGAGAACCATCCATTCCAGCATTGTGTTGCTAGAGAGACAACTCAGCGACTTCTACTCATAAGCAGAACATGGATCACATTAGCATTTTCCATACCTGGTTATCAGCAATTAGCATGGAAAGGTACTAAGCCATTATTATTGGAAGGCAGTACATACATGAATATTGTTTAATAGTCTTTTCTTCCATGAATTTGATTTAAAAACATCCAGCTTGGCAGTCAACATTATATATTGCAGTAGAAAATTCCATAATTTGATTTATGTTATATATAAAATATTGCTTCAACCTCCTATAATTTTTGTTTGATCATTGTATGTTCTAATACTGCAATAGATGAAGGCAATGTTTCCCTTTTTTTTTTTCTAAACACGAATTGGTTTTATATATTTTATTAGGTCCGCTCAAACTGAAAATGTTACAGGTTTGGGGCTATTTGCACAAATATATGAACAATGTCCTCTAAGAAGACCCAACCATGAAAGAATTATAGAGAATTAGTGAAACCTCACTGTTGGGAAAACATATTACTTCATGAATCTACAATATCTTGCCTAAACCAGAGTTTAAAGCTGGATAGAATCTTCCCAATAGCTGCTAGGAATGCCACTGGCACAGAGGAATATGGACCTGTTTTGTGTTCACAGTGGAGCATACAAATGTTTCAGAAATACTCACAAGTGACCTGGAGTAGGAGAGGTCGCCCCAGAGTACAACCCCAGCACTGCCAAGTGCTGCACTTTCTCCAATTGTATTTATCAGGTCAGCCTGAATCAAACAAAAGAAAGAAGAGAAAATGTAAGGACCTGCCCCAGCTGGTCCCTCAAGAAAGCAAAGCTCTTGATTCCATTAAGTTGCAACAAAAGAACTTTTACTGAGAGAAAATGGTTGCAGTAAAGTCAGGTGGAATCTGAAAAACCCCCACAGAGCACAAAGCAATTCTCCCAGTTCCCCAAACCCAACCCCCTCTGACCAATCCACCCGCAGCCAATGTGATGCTGCAAGATTGTTTTGAGAATGCTGAGGTGCTAGGCAGATAACAGTTCACTCTCAGAGCATGATGGCCTTGGAACCAGGCTTGAACTGGCTAGGAGGGGGTCTGCTCCATCTCTGAATCCCCCTCCCTAATTCCCAAGCAGTTACAGCAAAAGCAAAACCATGTGAAAAATGCCAGCAAGCCTTCCTTCCTCCTTCCCCTTCCAAAAGAATGGCAGGACACGATAGCGGATAGTGAGTAGCTCTGTATGAGATCTCTATGGAGATTCTCAGTCATTCAGGTCATGGTTGTCCCAAAGGTGCTTTTTCAAGAGGCAACTGGACTTCCTGTTTTCTTTGAAAATGTTTCACTTCTTGGATGAGAAGCAAAATTTCTTCAAAGAAGAAACAAAGACCAGTTGCCTCTGGAAAAAGCACTTTTGGGACTCTGTATGAGGTGTTCACGTTATAATTTTAGTGATATAAAGTCTCTATTAAACTGGTTTCAATGGAGCGTAAAGATCTATTTTCAGAGATCTAGAGGTGTAGCGTGATCTTTTTCCATACAGATACCCCAAATCGGTACTTACGAGTTAGAAGAGTAATGATATGAACTGGGCTTCAGCTAGCATAATTGGGTATTGGACTCTAAAACAAGCTGGAGGATCACCAGCCTGGGATAAGTCATATAGCCAGCCAGAGCCTTTATTATTCTTTGAGAGACACTTGTGTTCCATTGAATTCACTGGTCAAAAAAATCTTGCATGTGTTCTCATGGCTGAAGAGCCTGACAGATTTGTTTGACCACTGTACCAAAGACCAAGTGAATATCTATAATCCAAGCAATAATAATTTTTTAGTTCTGTGTACACATTTTTGGAACACCAAAATAAATTAAACTACCCGGTAATACTTTACATAACAATAATGGTATGGAAAAATATTTTCTGTAAAAATTTCCTATTATGAATACAAAATTTTCCATTATGCACAGTGTTATATTTATATGAGATTTTTTTCAATGTAAACTGAACATTTCCCATATAATTCTTTTCTTTAAAAAAAAGTTCCAATTCAAAAATTTCAGGAAAATCTACAACATTGAATAGCACAATAATCAGAATAAAAATCTTAACAAGAGCAAACTCCTTTTACTTAATTACTCGGTTTAGCCTGTTCAGAAAAGATGCAGTTTGTCTCTACACTGTTGTGTTAATTAGTAACTTTTTTCTTTCTATGAAAACAATAATCTGCAAAATTAATGAATGAACCTTACACAGTTCCATTTTTATACATGATATTTTTAATGCAATTGATGACTCAAGGCTGAAACACTGTTTACTGAATAGCCATGAAGCAGGAAGTTTCTCCCACATTTAATCCATCCAAAGATAATTGGAAGAATGCAGTACAGGGCTGACAGTAGACTTTGTGGATGAGGAAACTATATATGCCATTCAGAAGTACTTTGGGAAAAAAGTGAGATAAATGCAACAAAGGAATCATGTACTATAGAAGTGAATACAGCTCAAAAAATGTTTTCCAGCTGAATAGTAGATGTAAGTATTTTCTGCAATCCATGGACTATCCTTACCCCGCTTCTCTGAGCGCCCCAGGGTACTTACCTCAGTTAGATACTTTGAAGAATGCCTGTAGGAAACCCTGGAATATGGTAACACGGGAAGGGGATGCTCTGTGCCGAAATGTGCCACACGAAATGCCTCTCCGAGACGGTGATGTATATAATGCTGGCGGTACAAAGCTGGTACTTTCAGCGGAAGGTAGATACTGGGATAGAGGGCTGAGGAGATTTTCCACAACCACATGAGTTGATCATTCCACAGGACCTCCTTCGGATTACATTGGCCAGTATAGTTCTCCTCTTTCCCCCATTTATTGAAGCAATCAGGAAACCTGTAGAAGCCCCAGAAACCATGTGGCCTCATCTTCTTTCCCAGAGCTAGAGTAGTCTCCATCAGCACCCGTGCGGCCTCTTCAAACTCTACCTTAGCTAAGTGAGTTTGCTCCTCAGGAGAGAGTCCACGAAATCTTTTCCTCACCCATTGTTTAGAGGCCTCCCTATAAACCATTTTGGGCGCCCAGTTTCGTCTCCAGAGAGGTCGCCATTCCTCCCAGTCTACTACTGCCAGACCTTGGAAGTTATTGTTCAAAAGTTCTGTGATTTCCTTAGTGGTTTTCTCTAGATGTTTCTTCAAATTAACCTTCTGAGGGATCCCCCCATTATGCCAGTCACCCTGTGGAGATATGTAGGGATACAGTCCAAACTTGTTTTTGTAGAAAATAGTCATATTTTGTCCACGGAACACATTGCCTTTGTTCTCCACAATGCCATAGACATCCAGAGGTAATCTGATCCCAAAATGCTCTTGACATCTGACTGTGGGTATATTCCACACCACAACAAATGGTTTGTGCTGGATGATGGGACTGGCAGCTGCCTGCTTCCAGCTATTCCCTGCCAGGGATCTAACAGATGCAGTACAGAAGGTGATCCAGATCCAGATAATTCTCTCCAGGATCATGGTGGATGGAATAAGCTGGTATCTGCTCTGGAACTTCTCAAGCTTTGTTCATAAATGCATCCCCTGACAAAGAGAAAAGGGGATGATGGGTTAAATAAGACCTGGCTGCACCCCTTATTTACAGATCATTTCTAACCCAATAGCACATAATAAAAATAAAATAAAAATAAAATAAAAATTTAATTAAGTCAAACCACTAGCTACAGAGAACCTTGTAAATGTAGAAGTTAAAATGTCAGATTGGAACTGAGGACATCCAGGTTTGCCTCTTCCCTTCAGAATAACCAATGAGTTGTGCCATGGACCCAGCAGGACAGATTTAAAGTCTATTTATGAAGCACTATCCTGACTTCAGGATTGTCATTATTTCTCAAATTATCACCCTCTCAAAATGGTGTAGGGATGGGTGGAGAGACCTGTATCTATTCTTTGTGGAAAAATTAGAACAGAAATATAATCAACCAGTTAACTCATTTAATCAACTTATCTGTTAATATCTGTTAGAATCAAGTTATTCATTGTACAAGATGTATTTAATCTGAGAATCCGGCTTCATAAGAAATGCTTTGTTTATTACAGAGTAAGAAGTATGAAGCTTCTGGCCTCAGGTTCTCTTGTTCAGATTTGTGAGGATTTGTTTCTGTTTTCCTAAAACCCTGCTAGTGAAGAGGGAGAGAAAGGGTGGCAGAAGTAGGATTAAAACAGGTGCCAAAACAGCAAAAGAAAGCATCACTCTAGATGATTAGAAATCAAGTTGCCTTAAAGAACTACTACTATCAGATCAGCTTTATAAACATCTGTGATCTTAGGAGATAGCTCACTTCTTTGGTCCCCCATGTCTTGCAAAATATTTTATGACAACTAGGAAACAAGTCTTCCTTGAGGTGCTCATATCCTGTGTGGGTCATCCACTGTCCCTTTGCAACAAACCAAGTCTTACAGAAGGTATGCGTTAGGTAACTTTAAAAATATAACTTTTGCTTTGAACACCCCCATCCCACTATCTGTCCCAATCAATCAGTCAATCTTTATTCAGTCATAGGCCATCAAATAAAACACAAAATTCACAATTAGAATAAAGAGGGAAACATATTTCTTCTAAAATATCTAAAGAGAATTAGAAGACATACTATGCCATACTGTACAAACTATGAAACAGTACTTACCTGTGGTCAGGGAAATAAAGTCAGACTGATCTGATAATAACTTAAAATAAGTCAATAGGACCAGGATAAAGAATGGAGATAACAATTCCTGCCTAGAGGGGACATTACAGAATAATATATTCTACCATTTAAGTGAGGCCTCTCCTTTTAGTACTGGCTGTTGGGAGGGCATTGAATCTTGTCAAGAATAAAGCCCTTCTAAATTTTGGGATCATTATGCAACTAAGATACCTAGCTGGTTGGAAAAAGTGTGCCCCAGAAAGGTGCTTTTTGGGTAGCACAAGAATGTCCATTTGCAGTTCTAAATCAGTGGTCTGCTGTTTGAGATCAGCCACTGCATGTTCATAATCCATCATAGTGATGGTTAGCTATAAAGTTGTATTTTGGTATATATCACCCTGGTACCAGGAAGACTCAAAGGTCAATCGTAATTAAAGGAGCCAAGCTAGCTGGAAAAAAAAGGAGAGCTCAGGCCAATAGGAGAAAATGAAAATCCAGGCAATAGTTTATATTTGAAGTGGGCCAGTTTCACAGTGGTGGACCATGTTTGAAATGCATTGAGGTGCACCTGCCCCCAATATTTGTCTTTTTAAGTGGTGCTTTTCATGTTTTATATCTGCTATAAATAACTTAAGGACACTGATTATGAGAAGTGGCCTTCAAATCATAAAAAGGGTAAAATAGATTGGCTTTGGCATGTGGTTCCTAAGGAAACGCAGGGAGAGGGGAATAAAATTCTTCAAGGCTGACTGAGCACATCCAGGCAGGTGAAGAAACTCCTCAGGAGATAAATCCAAGGACTAGTTTTTTAAGGTGGAAATAGTGAGAATGTTTAAGTGGGAACTGCCCGCAAAGACTGTTGTTAATCAGGTGACCTAAAATTAAATCCTGGTGAGTAAGACTTGTTTGGATCAACACAGAAAATGCTGGGAGGAATGACTCTATGGCAGTTATGCATCTTTCCAACCAAGCCGTGCAAGTTCCTGTCTGGGCAGCTTCCACTTGGTGGTTTGGATTGTTAGATATCTAGTTGAAGAAACTGCAGACCAACCTCTTTCTACAATTTTAAAAGCCTAGTTTGCATTGACTAGGCTTCTGACTTCTCCCACATTGAAAGAAATCAAGTTAAGGTAAAATACAATTTTCCCATTCTGCTGTCAAATACCGTGTTTCCCCAAAAATAAGACCCTGTCTTATATTTTTTTGCCACCAAAAAAGGCACCAGGTCTTATTTTCAGGGGAAGTCACCCACTGATTAACCTCACTTGCACGTATCGCCTCCGGCTCCTTTTCTCTGTCAGAGAAAAGCTGTGGCTGGAAAGGCTTTCCTGAAGGCCTCTGCAGCTGGTAACAGAGCTCCGGATTGATCCAGAGCTTTGTTACCAGCTACAGAGGCCTTCAGGAAAGCCTTGCCAGCCTTGCCAGCTGTAGAAGAAATGGGCCGGCAAGGCAGGTGTTGGGGTATGGGAGGCCTGGCTACAACTGTCCAAAGGTAGGGCAGCTCCATTCCCCCATTCCCACCCTAGCTTATTTTTTACCTGTCCATTAGGGCTTATTTGGGGGGGTAGGGCTTATATTGGGTGAATGTGTAAAAATCAAGCTAGGACTTACTTTCAGGATAGGTTGTATTTTCAGGGAAACAGGGTAGATGTCAACTCTCATAAACCTCAGCCAGGAAACTTATGGGAATTGATCTCCTCCTTCACTTGGAAGGCACCATATTAGAGCAAGCTAGAACAGAGCATTTCTTCCAATACAAACTTTCTGATGAAACTAAACTGGTTTCAAATAAAAACTACAAACTTCCCAAGTAGTTGATAAGTCAATATCAAACTCTTTTCCACACATGTATCCTGGCAGCAATGACAGGCCTGAAATCCACACTTCATTACAGACCGAAAAAATTAATTATCTGTACAATATTTTGCTCACACTTTGGAGGTCTACATTAGTAACTTGATCATCATGGGAATACTCCAACGGTCACCTCGCCATTTTACAATATTTCCTGCAATAAGTCTTTTCTCCTCGCTGCTCAAATTGTGCAATACAACCTGCAAGCCTGTAATACTGTAATATTTGTTGATAATGTTCCTGTTTCTGTTTTGTTGCCTTTGCTTGATCTGTTTTTATATAAGAAATATGCTAATGGAGATTATTTTAGTAAAATGCAGTATACTCTCATCTATCCATGCTTCTCTTTGTGAAAGTGAACAGAAAGTGAGTAGCTTTTGCAGCGCTTCGGGGCAGGCAGGAATCCGCGATCGTACACGGTTTCTGCCTGCGCTCGCCGCTGGAGTGCCCTGAGCCACCCGGCTTCAGGGCTAAGCCACTTCCGTAGAAGGTGGTGAAGATAGGGGGGATCTGGCAGGGTCGAGAGGATCGCACCTCTTCTCCCTAGCTGGCTAAACTCCCTTTTCCGAAGGTGGCAAGAGCGGCGGTCAGAAATGGCCACCACAAAGAAGCGCTCAGCCAGAAAAGAAAGTGCAGGAGGTGAAAGTTAAGAAGTGAAAGTTTTTTGGCTGACCGGGACAAAGCAACAACGAAGGTACCCTGGAATTTAAAATTTGCAAAAGATACATCGTTCCCAGAGACTTACAAGCGGCGGATGAAAGTTAAAAGGGAAAGTTCTTTTTTTTCACTCTCCTTCCTAACGTTGACAGCGAACAGAAAGAAATCGGAAAAACCCGCTTTGGATCAATAGGTAATTAAACTGGATAACTAAATGTCAAAGGGATAATAAGGATTTCTGAATATTTAAAAAATTTTTTTTGCTGTAAGTGGGAAGGGAGAGGAAAAGAATTGGAGCAGGATTTGGAAGCAAGGAGGAGATTGCCTAGAATTTTAAAGAATCATTCAATACTAACAAGACTTCTAAAAGATACATCTTAACTGGAATTTTGTAACTAAACAATAACGCCAGAAAGAGAAAGTGAAGAAAGAAGAAAGTGTTAAAAGAAACAGCTTGTTAGGTATAACATTGATACCAAATATGGTTTGGGTGAATAAATATATAAAACTTAGATATCATGGTTTAAGTGCTTATCACTTTAAGCACAATGTTGCAGGCAATTAGCCCATTAAGGGTGCGGTTAGAAGTTACAATATAAGGAAGCATTAGAAGCTGGAAAGCTTACTGTGACTAACTGTGAATACTGTTTGAACTGTGCCTGTGACCGAGATGATCCTGTCTGCTACTGTTTGCTGATTTACTGCGGAATTCAACTGTTCTACTGTTTGAGCGTCTTGCTGAATATCCAGCGTTTGTTTCTCTGGAGAGAGGCACCGGAGGAGGAGAAGATATCTTTATCGGCTGATAAAGATATTGTAAGGACTCTTAACTTGGACTGTAATAGTGAGTCTTACTGGATGGAAATATAGTGAATGACAAATGGACTGAATGACAATGCTTTAAACTCTAAATGGATTAAAAACTATTTAAACTACAAACAGTGTTTGTGTTCAGTGTGTGTATACTCTGGGGCCCTTCCATTCTCGTTTGGCTGCCTGGCTTGACTACTGCTGCAATACTCTGCTAGGGGTTAATCCCCAAACACTAACACAGCTTATTTGAACTGTTTGGTGACTTTGGGACTTTTGGAAATTATCTTTGAAGGACTAAAAACACTTGGGTGGTTGTTTTGGAAAAAAAAATTCTTTCTACAATGGCATCACTTGTGGATGAATTGAAAATTGAATTCAAAAAATACAAAGAAGAGGAACAAGAAGGGAAGAGTTCTCTTGGTTCTCTTTTTCAATTCTTAGAAATGGCAATTTGCACCTATGAGAAATTGACTGCGCAACAAGATGATTGGGACAAAGAAGAAGCCATCTTTGATGAACAAGTAACTTTACTTGGGGAAGAAAGGGGAAAGGAGGAAAAGAAAAAGGAGACTT